TTCATGAAAAAATTTAGTGTTCCCATCTCCTTCCTTGAGCCACCTGCATCTAGACTTCTGTCTCCAAGAAATTTCTTCTCTCAAAATGACTTCATCTAACTCTCTTTTCAATTTCCATCTCCGATCTCTATCTTGAGAGTTTATGACTCTTTGGGATTCCTTCGCATCTAATTCCTCTATTTGGGTCATCAAAGAGGATTTAAATTCTTCTACTCTTCCAAAATGCTCCCTATTCCAATCCTTCACATGTGCTCTCAAACTTTTTAGCTTTTTAAGAAATCTTACTCCTTTCCACTTCACCCCCCTTAGGTCTTCTCTCCACCATTCCTCAACCTTCCTTACGAAATCCGGGTGAGTTAACCACATGTTTTCAAACCTAAAGGGTCGGGGTCCTTGCCTAAACGGCTCCTGCCCTAGGCCAATGGGACAATGGTCAGATGTGACTCTAGGTAGAGCTCTTGTTATCAAGTCCTCCCACTTGTTATCAAGTTCTCCATAACTCATAAATTACTAAACTACCATTAATAACATCTTTGGCATATTAGCAGGGCATCTATATAGTTGGTAGTCTGCCATATGGATAGGAATTGGAGAGTTCAAATGACTAAATGCATTTGGAGGGGAGATATATTTGGCATGGTGATTCTTAAACCATATTAGATTGAACCAGATTCATGAAAGTGCAAGATATTGACTAAGGCTAACAGACAAGAAGATTCTATGTTTAGAAAGTCTCAGAATGCTCACTTGTAAAATTTAAACCTGATTTGCTTTTACCTTATGTAAAATATTCATTTTCTTAACACAGAAATAGGAAATACAATCTCAGAATTGAATAAATGATCAGTGAGAAATGCAATTCGTGAATGGAACAGATTATCACTAATTAACAAAAAATACTGCAAAGAGCATGAAGCAGATGTTGTATCTATTTGTTGAATGGAAAGAAGCACTACTTTATGTTAATAGATATTGCTTTTTAGATGAAGTAGTTGTACAGATTATGTAGAATGGATTGAGTGTTCTTTAATATGACTCAATCAAAACTTCCTTTTCAAAGATATAATCATTGTTGTTCTTGTACCATTAATTTTTCTTTGCTTTACCACTAAAATGTTGCCTTGGATGAACTTCTCATCTGATACGAAAGTAGACTAGTAGAAAATTTACCCTGTTCTAGAAAGTATACTAATACTACTTAACCTCCATCTACTTTCTACTAGTTTACAGCCATAATTATTGTCCCATTTATCCTAGCATCACTTCCCACTTATTATAGCTATTGATCAGATCCATATGACACTACTAATCAGTCCAGCCACCATATTGCATCTCCACTAAAACCACAACTGCAGTACAATGTGTACAAAATCCTTATCATCATTGTCAGAAAAGAAACAAGGATGTATAACAGATCAAATTAACAATATAAGGAAAATAGAAACAAAAAGAGCAACCTTCTTTCTTCTTTTGGTTCCAATGGAAACTGGTAGAACAAATCTATTGCTAGCTTGCAATTAACATTCGGAAGAAGAAAAAAGAAAAAAAAAAAAAAAAAACTGTTTTGATGGTGACAAAGGGTACAAATCAATAGATCCAGCGTTCAATAATCAATAAAAATTACGAGGAAGAAGAATCAAATAAGCCCAAAGACATTCAGCACGAACTGAGAGACTTTAAGCTTCAAAAAGTAAAAGCAATACAAGTTTCAGAGTGAGAGAAGAGACAGAACCTTCCAATCAATGGCATGGAAGAAACCCATGAAATTCTCATAAGCTGGCTGAAACCCAGTTCGGATTTCCGCCGAGAATCTCTCAATGAGACCCGCCATTTGCTCTATATGATCGTTAAACGCAGATTTCAGGTCTTCCATGGCGCCAAAACCCGATTCAAAGAATTACACTTCAAAATTGATCCTTGTGGACAACTTCCCCACAAAGGATTACACAGACAGAAAAGAAAATCTTAAGCCTTTCCCGTAATCAATAAGGGGAAATTCGAAAACTTAACTTCAACTTTTCAAGACGAAAGACACAGAATCTGAGGACTGAGATAGCTTATGCAGAGCTTGCTCGAGTGTTCTTCAAAGCATCAAACCAAAACGCGTGCACCATCACGTGACAACTGTAAGACCTATTACAATCTAGAATTCCCCAACCGGAGTAGTGTGGCGGTCCGCCCACGATTCGGTTCAAACCGAACAGGTCTTTCATAGCAATGCAGTTCGCCACCGTTGAGCCTTCTTTCCACATTCCACCGCCTTCTTCGAGACAGTAGTCTTTTCTCTGAACTCAGCCTCAAAGCCCAAACATCGGAAAAAAAGGGTGAAATATAAAAACCTCCCTTTAGTTTTCTAATAATCATAAAAACCTTCTCTATGTTTTCACTTTAATAAAAATATCCTATGCATTTTTCAGAAAATATGCAACTACCTCCCTTTTGCGAGTTTAATACTTTTATTTTTTTAAAATGCCTATATTACCCTTATGCCTATCTATTTAGATGTAGATTTATTAAAGGTTCGACTATGATACGAAAAAGATATCATATCTAAAAAACTTATGACCAATCAACTGAAATCATAAACGATGGTAGTCAATCAGGTATTATTTATCAAAATTCATAGATGGATTTTGATTGGTCAAAACTCTTCCCATACCATATATTTTCCGCATCATAGATGTTTCCTTTATTAAAATACCCTCTAAAACGTTGCTCATTTTCTTCTTAAGAGCTGGAAATCAGATCCACCGGCATCACCATGTGTGTTATTGGTGATGAGGTCAGTGCAATGAGTTCACTCGCTCCAAAGGTCGGACCACTCGGTCTCTCTTCGAAGAAGGTCGGAGAAGAATCTGCCAAAGAAACTACAAAAGAATGGAAGGGTCTTCGATTGTGAAACTCATTGTACATAACCAACAGGCCAAAGTATCCATTGTGCCATCGGCAACTGCTCTTGTAATCAAGGCCCTCAAAGAGCCTGAACGGGATTGCAAGAAGACCAAGAACAATAAGCACGCAGGCAACATTTCTCTTGATGTTATTGAGAATTTGAGATTGCTAGAATTATGAGGCCTAGATCGATGGTGAAAAACTTGTCTGAAACTATGAAGGAAATTCTCGACACCTGTGTTTCCGTCGGTTGTATGGTCAATGGTAAGAACCCAAAAGATCTACAACAAGAGATCACCGACGACAATGTTGAGACTCCGCAAGATTGAGGAATTTAAGTTAAGACTCATTGGTTCACTACATTTTGTTTTTTCCCATCCTTTTTACTTATCCTAGGGATTTTTTATTTTGCTATTCTATCTTAAATATCATCCCAAAGTTAAAGGACAAGTGAAAACATTTGAAGAATTTGTTTGATGACTTTAGATTCATATGTTTGTTATTTAGGGTTTGGACAATATAATGTGGTTTTGGAAAATAATAAAAAGCGATAGGAGAGAAAAAGGAAGAGAGAGGGGGAAAGGAAGGACGGAGGACCTATTGGGTTTTTCTTCGCCACCTCTAGTTCTTAGTTATTAGGCAAAGAAGACAAACAGTGTTTCTTGGGTATTTTGGTAATTTTATATTTGAGTGGATAAATATAATGGAAAAAAAGGTATTTTCAAAAAATAAATGTATTATATCATCATTTTTCATATGGAATGATGATGAAAGGGAGGTAGTTGCATGTTTTCTAAAAAATACAGGAAAGGTTTTTGTTAAAGTGAAAACATAGGGGAGGTTTTTATATTTTACCCAAAAAAAAAACAAAAAGAGATGTAGGGTATCAAGCAAAAGAGGTTGAGGGACTTCAAATATAGCGCAAATTGCTTAAACCTCCCATGAAGTTTGGTAATTGTAATGACCTCCCCTGAAGTTTGATTTCTTTTTCCAAATTTGCCCTTGATATCAATCGCTCAATGATAAAACTACAATTTTAAATTCTTTTTTTGTTGTTGTTATTTATAAAGTTTGTATTTTTCTTTTTGTAGAAACCAGCCACGATAGTAATTGCATGGGTATTTTGGACATTTTGTGTTTCTTGCTAGAGGATTCTAGTAAAGGGTTTTTAACATATATGTGAGATTTAAAATTCTTAAGCCTAAAAATTGAAAATAAAAAGAGTTATTCAAAGTCATGACCCATCCACTGCCATTCAGGTCATCTGATTAGATGACAAGACATTGACAACGTCAACAATTTTTTTATCAAAATATTGGGTTTTAAGAAAACTAAAATTAGAAGTGGGTTGGGTGATAGTTCAAACAATTTGACCATATACATCAACGATAAATTGAAAATAGTGCTCTCAATGTAAAGTAAATTAAGAGCCCTTTGGTTTTAGGATCGGAATCACCATGCCTATTTAGTTCAAGGAATTGAAATTGGATTTCGATTTTTATTGTTTGGTTCAATTAGAAGATGGAGTGGGAATTAACTAAAATTCTCAATTTTTCTAGGGAAAAGAAAGAAGAAAGGAGAGGGGTAGAAGAAGTCGTGGTGGTACTAACAATGGTAACAACAACAAAGGGGAGGAGGAAGAGGGAGAGAAAGAAGATAGGAGAGATAAGAAAGAAGTCACCATTGCTAATACTGTCAATGATATATTAGAAGAAGCAGCGGCGACAAAGGAGAGGAGGAAGAGGGAGGGAAAGAAGAAAGGAGAGGAGGAAGAAGCCTCCACTTGCTAATACCATTGATGGTATTAGTAGTAGCGGCAGCAACAAACAAGAAAAAAGATGAAAGGAGAGAGGAAAAAGAAGCCATCACTACTAATACCGTCGGTGGTATTAGCAATGGTGGAAGTGACAAAAGGGAATGAGGAAAAGGGAGATAAAGAAGATGGGGGTAGAAGAAGAAAGAAGAGGAGTAATGGGAAAAGGGCCTATAAAAGTTGGATGGAGGAAAGTTGACCAATGACTGATCATACCTTTCTAGAGATTATGGTCGTTGGCAACAGACATTGGATGGAGGAAGGCTTGTGAAAGTTGAAGCCTTTTGGTTGAATAGGAAATGATGGCTATGTTGTCAAAAAGAAAAAAAATAGAGGAGGAATGGGAATGGCATTCTAAGGGGAGGTGACGGAATGGCCATTACCCTATATGGGGGAACCACATTTCGCTTAGGAAGGAAATGGGAATCCCATTCTAGTCAACCAAACTATTAGAACCAGAATGGGCCATTCCAATTCCGATTCCAAGCACCCATTCATGTGAACCAACAGCACCCTAAGATCAAATGCTCAAAGTTCATAGAAAAACATTTTTTTTTGGTTTATACATTCATCCAGTTCAAACAAAGTTAATGGTGAATCTTGGCATACCAACTAGTTGGTGGCCTAGTTGGTAGGACATGACTCCATTGTTGCAGAGACTTGGGATATAATCTTGTTGCCACCAGGGTGGGGGTTTAGGAAAGGAGAATGGGCTACCCCCATTGTGTAGAGTCTTGGAACTAAGTAAATATAGTAAATTACTAATCTAAGTGAAGACTTTGTGCTAATATTCAATTACATACATTTAGAAAAACAACTTGGAACTAAGTAAATATAGTAAATTACTAATCGAAGTGAAGACTTTGTACTAATATTCACTTACATACATTTAGAAAAATAACTTTGTGGGTTGAAAAATTACAAAAATCTCCCATAAGTTTTCGAATAATCCTATAAACATTCCTCATGCTTTGACCATAACATAAACCTTTCTTAACATTTTGAAAAAAAAAAGGTGCAAATAACTCCCTTCCATTAGTTTTCAAATGGAAAATGCAATGCACAATTTTCAAAATACTAAATTTACCATTCACAAACTTTTTTAAATGTACATTTACTAAAATACACCAAAAAAGAAAATATTTCGTTTTCTATAGGGGTGTTTGGTACAATGGTGTTGTATTGCCGTTCCGTTTAGGGTGGATTAGTACAAATTTGTGTGAAATATTTTTTCTTCATAAATGTTTCAAGTTGATCAATATTGATATAGTTGTAATTGTCTGACCAATCCTTGACAAACACGTGACACACCCAGGGGCAAATCTTGTCACTTCACAGACTTTGGGGGCATCCCTGGTATCTCACACCTAGCCTTAATGGCATGTTACTCTTGGAGACATTATGCCCTCAATTGAGCTCTTAGACTCATTAATTGTCAAAGTAATGCTCGGGCATGTGGTTACCATTTTAATGACATCAACCTTTATTATAGCATGGCATTTGGAGGAGCCCATAATGCAGCCAATAGTGGGACCTCGCCTATAAATAAGGACAAGGAGCCACAAGTAACTTTCTTACACTTCTCCAACTATCATTCTTGTTCTTGCTCTTTTCTCACCTTGGTACATCAGTTCTTTAATTACCTTAGCTAACTTAATCATCAAAGTCCTCACCCTTAGAACCACGCCCTGGGGAATCTAATGCCTTTTGAGTTAATAGGCAAGATCTATGGCCAAATAACCTCGACATTTCCCAAATTACCCTTGCTACAATCTTCAGTAGCATTAATTGGCAACGTCTATAGGAAGGATACACATCTAAATCGCTATGGCCAATAAACAAGACAATTCGAGAATGAGGAATTGCTCGTCTTCAAAAGACAATTCCCCTTTAGCACCTCAAGCTCACATTACTCAAGAGCAATTCTAACAATTGATGGAATGGGTGACCCTCCTCACTGATAAAGTATGCCATATGTGGCAACTAATAGACGACCAACATCAAATTGGCCGATTCATTGATGCCAATAATCACCTCGACAAGAGACTTTAACCCTCCATCCTTGATCCAACAAAAAGATCAACTCTGAGGCAAAAAAGCAACAATCATTTGGGAAGCTAACAATTCTCTCGCACCTATACTAGTTATTACACCAGCCATCATGCCTTCGGACAACAAAGAAGTATTAGGGGAAACGAGAACCATACCACTAAATGCCAGCAATTTTGCATGACCATCTTAACAACCATCGTACACAAAGAGGAGCCAACCCCACAACATTAGGGCACTCCCAAAATGACCCAAATCTCTCATAGATCAAGGAGACACCCATGGCTGACGTCTCACAATGGGACCATGAAAGGAGGATCAACAACCTAATAAGCCAACTTGGTGTTATTCGCACCAAAATCAAGAAGTAAAGAAGGATAAGATAGATTCCCCCTCTAGTCACTACAACTCAGTGAGTACAATGGAAGCCATTGTCGATG